CCCCCATGAAAGGAAATGTCTGAACTTGCTCTGCTTCTGGAAAGTCCTGAAGAAGCAAGGACGTTCTCCCTCCATTATGAATCCTCAGAACTCAGCCTGACCCTCCAAGGACTGAACAGGTGTTCCTCCTGCCAGGAGACATGGGGGCTGATTTTGTGAATGAAACTCTGTGGCCCCGCCCTGGGCGGGGTGGGGAGGCAAGCGAGCTGGATCTCGCACCTCGGGAAATGCGGGAGGGTCTTGCCAGGATCTCCCAGACATCTGGAAAGGAACTTGGTCTCTCTGGCCTCAGTTTCCAGGTGGGCTCCGTGGAGGGGCAGCAGGTTCCTGGTGGAAAGCCAGCAGCGGTGTCTGGAGTAAGTGAGCCATCAGCCCCAGGTTCATTTCTTGGTTGAGGCTGAAGAGCTGGGTCTCCTTGAAGCTAGAAGCTGCCTGGCGCGTGGACAGACAGATGACTGGAAGGGCCCCAGCCACAGCCTGTTTCTCTAGTGGCTGTCCGGTGAAGACAAACACAGGCGGTCTGTCACGGCAAAGCTGACTGACCCCAGTGACAGCACAGGTTCAAACCATGAGCTCAGGCCCAGGATGACTTCCGCCCACCGGCTGCCTCCCTGATGTCACTGCACACTAGAATAGGGACATAGGCATGAAGGCTCAGTTCTGTCACCACTGCAGAGAGCAGCAGCTATGCTTCCAAACACCTGTGGTTCACCCTGACCCCGTGCCACCCTCAGTGCCACTGGTTTTGGAGGCTCTTGAGCCTAGAGCTGTCAGTAAGGCTACTCGTCCCCTGCTCTGGTGCTTCTAGAAAGGCCTCTGGGTGCTGCAGGGAAAACCTGGGCCTCTGTGAGGAGCTGAACTCACTTGCACTGTGCACGCCGCCCCGCGGGAGCCCGGGTCACATGTGGTGAAGAGCGGCTGACCTCACAGATGCCTCCTCTTTAGGCACGAAGTGGATTTTGTCTGAAGGGGAGATTTTGTCTGCTGAGGCTCTTGCCCCAGGAACAGCCACTTCCTTAAAGACTCATTCCGTGTTCCCGATCTCTGAATGTGTGCTTCAGGTTGTCCTGTGAATGAGGGCAGTGCACCCCAAGCGTCGTGTCTGTGTGACAGCTGCGATTCTTCCTCTTTTTACCTTTTTACCATTTTTCACTAGAAACTCAGGTCAGCATGGAGGACCCAGGTTATCTCCTAGATCGTGGTTGAGGTGACAGCAGAACTAACCCAGCAGGAGGGCCACTCAGCCATCCCTTGCTGATCCACACATCCCCTCACACCCCGTCCTGCGATACCCACGTGCATGGCCACCGCACTCCTTTTTCTGGTGTGCATGCTCGTGTGCATAAAAATGTTGGGAATGGAATTAGAGTTTAGAGCCAGTAGCTGTGCACTGCTGTGCAGAGGTGGTGGGGAAGGCAATGAGGACGCGTCAGCCTTGTGCCTGGGAGGTGGTCCTCCTCTGCAAGCTCACGTCCCTGCCTCAGGGAGGCCGTGTGGCACAGCCCGCCTCTGTGCACCAGTACTCCTTCAGCTCCCTTTCTAACCTCTGAGCACTTTGTGGCCTGGTAATCTCAACTGATGCAAAAGTGTGCTGATGGTGCTCGGCTGGAGAGGAACGTGGGCGAGCCCAGGGCAGAATCCGCAAGGCAGAGCGTGGCCCACCACAGGGAAGCAGCTCTGTGATCTGCAGCTTTGGGGGCGCAGTGACATCCGGGAAGGCTGCACTGCTGAGTTTCACTGAGGACTGTGCTGTGAGCATTCCAGGGGCCGAGGTGACTAATGAGGGCTCTGTCCCCGGAGCACCGGGAGGCGTCCTGTTCTTCAGGCTTGGCTTCTGGAACAGGCCTCGCTGAAGCTCACAACAGCCAGAGTCGTGTGCGCTATTGTTTGTGTAGGTAAAATGTGCCGCCTGTCGTGGTTTGTGTGACGGTGAGCTCCAGGGCATGCAGGCCCCGGTATGCACAGGGCACATTCATAGGACAAACCCCCAGGTTGATGTTTGACTTTAAGAAATCCAGTCTTTGATTAAACTTTCCCAGAAATTATTTCTCTTAGGCATGGAGAGCCAATGCACACGCTGTCTCGGTTATTTTGAGTGACTGGGCGCTGTGGCACACACCTGTAGTCCCAGAGCCTGGGGAAGTTGAGGCAGGAGGGCTGCAAGTTCAAGGCCAGCCTCGGCAACTTAGTGAGACCCTGCCTCTAAATCAAAAAAATCGGGGATGTATGTCAGAGATAAAGCACCCCTGATTCAATTCCTAGTGCCAAAAAAGAAAAAAATGAATCATTTTGAATGAATAGATTGTTGTAGAACTTTGCCTCCTCTGAGTTCAAACTGAATAAATAAGTAAATGAGAGAACTATAATTTGCTGAGTTTGGTCTCATGTGGAGCTGGGGACCCATGCCAGTCGTTGTTTCTCTCCCAGCTCCTGGGCGTGCAGACTAAGTGCTGAGTACATGTGGCAGAGGGAAGACTGGCACATCAGTTAGCTGAACACTCCAGAGACCTACTTCCCTCTTACTGGGCTAAAGGTTGTCCACCGCTTGTGCACAAAATGAGATCTCAGGCCTGACCCACTTTTGCCCACGAGGTACCCCTTTTACAGACTTCGGATAAGCACAGTGAGCTCTTAGCAGCGGGAAGCTCCAGGCTATGAAAACAGGACCACTTGGGCTTCAGGAAACTAAAAGCTGAACAAAGGAGTAACTTGAAGAAGGGCCAGTTGTTTGCTGACATAAAAGAGCCAAGGAAGGTTGATCCCCAGTTTGGTCAGCCAGGACATGGAAATGCAACTCGGGACCCAGTCTTGCTCTCTTCCTGCTCACCTTGTCCAAGGCCTCGGTCATTCCACGTGGTTCGTGGGGATGTGATATGTGGGCAAAGAAGAAACATGTTTTTGCTTATGCATTGATTTATAATGGTGAGGAAAACTCCCCCCAAATCCCACCCACTCTCAGGCCACAATGGCCAGGGTTGTGTCATTTGCCAGAAAAGGATCACCTTGATAGTGACCAATTCAAGTCATCCCCCCCCCCCCCCGGAAGGGGCTGTCTGGATTACATGTGCATAAAGAGCCTAGCACCTAAAATTTCCATGCTCAGCCTGCCATTAACAGACAAGACAGGAGTGGCTTCAAGTAGCAGGCACCTGGGAAAGTCACCGTTGACTCTGTCCTTCTGTGCTGTTCCACCATAGCCACTTTTATGATTAATGTTTGAATGTGTGGTTAAGTCCTAGGTGCTCCTTGGGCAGCTGTGCAAGGCAGGTGACCCAGTGGCTCACCATTCAGTGCCTGGTGGGGTCCTGGAGTTCATCTCCCAGCTTGACTCCCCTGAGGCCAACACAGTCTCTCAGCTTGCTTTAGCTTAGCGTCTTCATCTGCAAAATTAAATTAACTACTGTGGTGGTTTAGATGAGGTGTCCCCAAAAGCCCACTTGTGAGACAATGCAAGAAGGTTATAGCCTTAACCCAATCAGTGAATTGATCCTTGATGGATTAACTGGTAACTGGAGGCAGGTGGGGTGTGGCTGGAGGAGGTGGGCACTGGGGGTGGGGCCATGGGGCACATATTTTGTATCTGGAGAGTGGAGTCTGTCTCTGCTCCTCATCATCATATGAGCTGCTTCCCTCTGCCACACTCTTCTGCCTTGAAGTCCTGCCTTATTTTGAGCCCCAAGGAATGCAGGCCACTTATGGCCTAAGACCTCTGAAACCATGAGCCCCTAAATAAACCTTTCCTCCTCCCAGTTGTTCTGGTCGGGTCCGTCAGTCACAGCAGTGAAACAGCTGACTGTCACAACAACCCTTTCCACTCACTGCCTCACGGGGTATTGGACCTTTGCTGGCAGTGTAACAAAGTCCCATATAAATGGGATTGTGTGAATTATTAGGATCCCACTGTCTTTTACTAGTCAGGTTAACGCTGTCCAATGCCCAGTAGTGTGTTGTAAAATCAAAGCAGGGATGAGAAAAGTGGATCCCATGGCCAAACCGAAGTGTGTTGAACGGATCCCACTAATGGGAGCCCAGTTTTCGTAGCAGGGTCCTCTAGTAACACCACGGAGGCGTGAAGACCCCGTGGAAGAACAGCTGGCCTCCCTCCTGTCCTGCCAGAGAGGTGGACTGAGGAATGTGTTCTGACCTCAGAGGGCCCTCTCTCCTGTCCCTGATCAGAAAGCTCCACACAGCCCCTGCCGGGGTTGCCCCCGTCAAACCTTCCCACATACCTCCTAGCCAATCCCCTAATTCCTTGAGCCACTGATCTCAGATATTACCTGCACAGGTAAAGTACTTAGAGAAAATAACAGTTGACATCTCTTGGTATAGGCACTCAAAAAGAAGTCTTTATAGGGTCATGCAGAGGACCACAGCTTTATCAGACTAAGAAGGAGCACCTTCTCACATCCCTGTTTCTCAAGTGCTTCCTGCTGTCATGACACTCTTCACGGGCTTTCAGAAGGACACCCAAACATCCTCTGGACACTTCTCTCCCCACCTGCTGGGTCTGCGAGTGGCTACAGGCCTTCTGCTTGTGCCTGGACTCAGCCTCTCTGACCCATGTGAGCTGTGAGCACCTGAGATCGAGAGAGGCTGTCTATGTGATGGGCCTTCCTGGGGCAGCGGGGTCTGTCTTCCTGGACACAGGCCACCCGAGGCACTGGGTCAGACCTGAGTTTGTAGATGTGATTCTCTCCAATCCATTGATGTTGTTACTTTCCAGCATTTTGGTTTGGGATCTGTTAACAGTTCAAAGACCAACAATGTTTCTGTCTACAGATTTGTTTTCTTGGGAGTTTTATTTGTGGCCACTTTGGAAAACATCAGTCCCATGTCATTAATGCCAATATTTTCTGGGTCCTCAGCATTCACAGTTTGTCCAACAGGCATGGTTACACTAAGTCTGTCCTCCTGGGAGAGAATGTGTGCTTCACCATCAACCTGCTCCCATAGACAGCGACACAGCCCCTGCCTTTGTGACGTTCCCTGTCTCCCCACAGGTCTGTCGACTTGAGCGCCATTTGTCTCCTGAGCAGTACCGGGGAACCCTCTTTGCCCATCAGCCCGTGATGTTCATCACGCCGGACAGCAGCCCGCCGAGAGCCAAGCTGTGTGAGCTGGTCCTCCTGTGTGGAGGCCAAGTCAGCCAGGTTCCTCGCCAGGCCAGCATTGTTGTCGGGCCCTACGCTGGGAAGAAGAAAGCAACAACCAAGTACCTGTCGGAAAAATGGGTCTTAGGTAGGACTCAGGCGCAGAAAGGGCGGGTCCAGGGGGCTCCTGCGGGGGACAGAGGGCTCCTGATGATCCCTAGGCCCTGGCGAGTTCCCTGCAGGGCCACTGTTCTGTGGTTCCAGCCTTAAGGAGTCTTCAAGGGGCGTCACGTGAGCCCCTCCCCGTGTCCTAGACCTCTGCTTCGGCTCACAACTCCTCACAGCTGCCCCTAGAGTCATGTGACTGTCCTGCACACCCTGCTCCTTCCTGTCACTGAGGGAGAATTCAAAAGGAAAAAAAAAAAAAAACCCTGGACTTCACCCATGTGGCTCCCAGCTCGTGTGGAAAGCCTGGTCCGCCCAGCCAATGGAGCTGTCCGGCAGGCGGGTGGTGTGACTGTGGGTGCAGGGCTGCTGTCAGACTTCCACGAGGTTCTCAGAGGACAAGGTGGCCAGCCAGACACCCTGACCGCGGGGTCTGTCCTGCATTGTGGTGACATGGCGGCCTCATCTGTTGGGCCACCTCAGAGGCTGTGGGTCTGCTGGGAGGAGCAGGTGGGGAGGATGGGGCAGCCAGGACACCGGGATGGGCGGGCGCCTAGGAGTGGGGCACAGCCGCTGCTGGTCTCACGCCCCGTGGTGGGTTGCACTCGGCAGGGCGATTGCAGGCTCCTCCCTGGGGGTGGCCTCACCTCCTCCTCCTTGGGCTTGTGATCAACTCTTGGTTGGTTGGGTGCCATGCACCGTGCCACGGACTGAGCAGCTGAAGCAGCAAATGGCTGCTCTCCGCAGTTCTGGAGGCTGGAACCCAGGGTGGGGTGTCGGCAGGTTGCCTGCCCAGGCCTCTTGTCTTCTGGCTGTGTCCTCACCTGGCCTTTCCTCTGCTCACGTGCCCTGGGTGTCCCTGGGTGTCAAATTTCCTCTTCATGGGAAGGGTCCAGTCAGATTGGATCAGAACCCACCCTAATGCCCTCATTTCAACTTAATCACTCCAAATGAAGCCACATTCAGAGGGACATGGGGTGGGATCTCAATGTAGGAATTTGAGCCCTGAGTGAACTTGTCGGGTCTCAGCTCCTTCGGCAGCCAAGATCCTTAACCAGACTCTCTCCCCTGTTTCCCTCCCATCCTGCCTCCCTTGCCCCCTGTTCCTTAGGCACAGTCCCTTCCACGTGGACCCCCGGAATCCCAGACTCCTGGTTTTTCTCACCCTTTGCTGGAATCAGCCTCTAACAGAGGAGCGGATTCCTGATTTGTCCAAGTTCCATCTCTATGCAGCCGGGTGCACTTTGTGAACATCTTTTAAACAATTGATGGTCATCCTTGATGGATTTCTAAAGTATGATGATCAAAGGTGATTTTTCACTCTCTGATATCGAGTATTTTATCTTTTCCCTGAGAACCAACTTCAAAAAAAAAAAAAAAAGAATCTAATGCTTTTTGCTATAGTCCAAAAGCTGTTTACTCTTTTCTAAATGCTAAGAATATAACCTTCAAACATCGATGCTCAGAGACAGAGGTTCTTGTTTTGTTTTTTACCAGTGTTCATTTCAAAATGCCGTGAACTGCAGACCAGAACTGTGCTTGGAAACATGTTTCTCTGAGCTCACTGTGCACATGATTGACATCAACAGCTAATCTTTCCAGAGTTCGGTAATTGTGTTCTGTACAAAGGCCCCAGTCTGGGTCTGTGCTCTTATTATTTCCAGGTTGGGCAATTGTGAGGGCCCTTCCTGTTGCTCCTGCCTTCTGTGTCGGAGTCACACTCGGTGCCGCCTGCTCAGTTCCTCGGTTATTTCTCCAGCTGGCTCTCTTGCTGGTGGTATTTTAAGAGACGAGCATCTGCAGGCCCACACCAGGGTTTAGTTTGCCCAAGCCCCTTCAGAACTCTACATTTTAGGGCTGGGCTTGTGGACCTGTTTCTGTTGCTTTCCTCTCTCCTAACTGACGTCCTGTTTCTGACCTGTCATTGATTACAACCACCTGCCTGTGCCCTTGGCAGCATCCGGGTATTGTGTGTGCTGCAGTCCTGGCTCATGTGAGGGGGTGCCCCTGGCTGGCAGGCACCCTGACCACTGGGTCCTTCAGCGGACCATGTATTTTTCAAATATTTATTAGCTCATATTTTCTCTTTCTGAATTGAATAACCATTCAGTAGCCCCAGCTGCTGCAGGTGATAGATGGCTTGTCCATGCACACATCTTGTCTCCTGCACAGACCTGCAGGTCACAGCCAGCCAGAGCACTGCACTTCCTCTCCCAGCCCGCTCTGCCCCCAGCCTACTTTTGCCTGATAGCTTCACATGGTGGTCAGAGAAGACCATAAGACAGTGTCCCTCACGGAGACCTGTGTCCTTCAAAGACCTTTCCTCCTGTTAACTTCTGTTACTATAAATACTTCTCTTTATTCTCAAAATATGGTTAAAGTTAAAATTAAGAATGTAGCAAATTGTTTTAAAGTATCAATTTGATAGAAAACTGGTCCTCTTGTGTAAATCATGAAAGGCAATACTCAAAATTTATGAATTAAGTTTATTCCTACTGGAATATCAGCTGCCAGGTCAGGTGATTCCTTGGGAGACCTTTTTATTTTTCTATTTTTATTTTTATTTTTGGTACCAGAGATTGAACCCAGGAGCACTCAACAACTGAGCCACATCCCCCAGCCCTTTTGTGCATCTTATTTGGAAGAGAGGGTCTTGCAGGCTCTCTAAGTTACTGAAGCTGGCTTTGTGCTTGTGATCCTCCTGCCTCAGCCTCCCGATCCGTGGGATCACAGGTGTGCACCACCAGAGCCTGGCTCTTGGGAGCCTTGGGAGTAGTTTAAATAAAGCATTTACTTAGAAGTCTTAAAAGCAACTTTTTGTGCCCACTTTCAGATTTAGAGGCTGCCATACAAACTGAAATCTCCAGGGGTTTCTTGTTGTTTGAGTAGCTTTGTATTTATTCCTATTGTCTGTGGTTTCTGAGCCCCTTGAGGATTGCTCTTTTCTGCCAGGGAGAAAGGTGGATGCCAAAGAGCAGTCTTTCCCCAGGGCCTCCAACAGCCTAGCACCATGACCCATCAGATAAGTTTTGGTCCCTGGACTTTCTGTATTGCAAAAACAGCAACCCAACTTTCATTTTTTTGTGATTATTGTGCTCATAAGATTTCTTCTAGCCTCAGGCCCAGGGTGGCCGCTCAGCATCCAGCCAGTTTCCCCTCCCAGTCCAGCGGGTTGCTGCAGAGAGCAAGAGCCAGTGGACCTTGTCACCTCGTGGGCTCGGCCGAGGTCCACACCCGTTCCTGGGGGATGTCCTCTGTGCCACGCTGCCTCCCAGCCAGGCTGCTTGGAGGGTCAGCAGTGTGTGCCCTGCTCCGTCCCCAGAGCCCGTCTTCCCTGAAACAGCTCTGTACTTGGGCCAAGATTCTTGGTGAATCATACCAGAAGGAGAAATGGGGATTTTTGAGATAGTACACTTGTGGGCACTTGGATATGTATAAAAATAAACAGGAAAACAGAAACCAGATTCCCGGCACTAAGAACTAAAATGCCACCTTTACCTGGGACGGTAACATTCTGTATGTGAAAGCATTTTCGGTGATTGGCTTTCCCCCAGCACTCCTGTGAAATGTAATACAATTCCAATGTTACATATGGAGACAGAAGACCCTGGGGTCCCAAGGAGCTCAGCTGGTGAGAAGGTGAGCCTGGGGGTGCTGGGAGCCTGCACAGCCATGGTCTGTGGCGTGCATGCTGTGGTCATTTCTGTTCACACTTTCAGTCCCCTTGTTGTCACCACGAGGCCAGTTTGGCCTTTCTCGTGAGCATGTTTCCAGGCTCAGGCACCTCTTATTGTCCGGGCTGTGCTCGGGAGAGGAGACGTACATCTGGGCTGCGTGGGCACAGTGTCATGTTCTCAGCAGTGTGGCCAAGCACAGCACAGCCTTGACGTGCATCCCTCATGAAGAGCATCAGCGTCTTCAGGAAGAGGATCCCTGATGGCACGGGGCCCCTCGCATGCTGGCCTGAATCATTCACTGTCTCCCTTGATGACTGACCAGAAGAAGTGCAGTGACCGTGGCATTCCTGGGCCCTGGACTTTAGGCTTCAGGATTCAGTGGCTATGTGGGTGTTGTCCGAGATCCTCTCAGTCCACCTTTCCACGCACAGATAAGGAACTAGTCAGAGAGGCAGGGTCACCTGTGCAGTGGGGACTCTTCCCAATGCTGCCTAATTTACCCTTGCCACAGGGTCCAGCCCGGCAGCCCAGATGCAGCATTTCAGGTACAATTTCAGAATTATTTTTGCTTTGAATTATTCAGAACAAATGAAATCTACCAAGACAGAAATGAATGACAACTAAAATGCAGTATTTTATAATTCCAAAATCTAATGTTTATAGGTTTTTTTTTAAATTCAATATATATGCACATACATATATACAAAGCCTGTGTGTATGTTATATGTGTGTGTGTAGATATATATGTATGTGCAAAGCCTTTTGTGTTTGTGTATATATGTTACATATTGCAAAGCCCGTATTTGTGTATACATGTTGTATGTATTACTAGTAATATTGCTTTAATTAACTGCTTGCCACAATCTTAGTACAAGCTTTGGAAAGCTATGGAAAGCGCAGGCTCAGAAGATGATTGCCTGAGCTCTCCTTTAATTAATATGTTGGCCAGCTAATGATCTTCGATGATTATCTTTGAATTTCCTAACCTGTGGGGTCGCTTTCTAAATTTACACTTAAAGAACTCAACCCACTAGGTGCAGATTCCAATCAGGATGTAAAAGCTAAAGCCCTTTTTAAAGGCAAGCAGGCAAATGCTTGCTGAGAAGTCCATTTCTGCACATTTACCAGTGTGCCAAAGGCACATTCCTGAGCCTCACTTAAAACAAAGTGGAACCAAAACCCACTTGGAGTGTAACAGGCAGCTGTCTGTTCAGCTCAAAACTGGAAATGTCCTCGACGTGGCAACATGTTATGTCCATCGTAGGAAATGCAGTCCTTGGTTCAGAGGTTAAACTGGCCATTTACA